ACATCACATTGATAGATGTTAAGAGCATTTTGTCACATTCTGACAACACACACCTGTTAGGACTTCATCACTTTTGTGACAACGCATGCCTTTGGAGATACCACAGTCCCTTTATGAGCTCATATACTCATTGTGAGTTAATGACAATTGAGATCACATGTGTCATTTTGATATCACCAACCCATTTTGACATCACACACCTCTTGTAAACATCACTAGTGTGGCATCACCAATTGTGATATGAAAACCTTATTAAGTTATCATATTGCAACATCACATTGCCATTATTATATCACTGTTCCATTGTGTTTTCTAAAACCTAGTATGTCTTCATAGCATTTTAGAAAATTCATGGTCTTTTATACTTCATTCTTCTTCTGTGAACTCATATCCTCATTGTGAAATAGTAGCAACTGAAATTGGACATGTGATTTTGAGGTATGACTTCACAAAACTATTTGATTTCATTACCAATTTGACATCCAAACCCATTGAGAACTTTCATTACCATTTGACATCACTATCACATTTTGACATCCCAAACCGATTAAGACCTCTTAGCACATTTGATAAAAACATAGGACCTTTGTGACATCACAGTCGCTTTGTGTAACTATACCCTCATTATGAACTTCCAATTGGTATCAGACATGCCATTGTAATATCACGAACCCTTTGTGGCATCACCCGTGTGACATAACATTTTCATTATGACAGCGTCAACTACTTTTGATATCACAAAAGTACAATGACAAGATAGCATTATGAGATCACATTGTCATTGTGAAGTTACAGATAGATTGTGAATGTTTATTTTTAATTGTTTTTTTTTCCGGTTGTGGGGCTTGAACTCTGGGCTTGGTTGCTGTTCCTGCTCTTCTGCTCTAGGTGAGCACTCTATCGCTTGAGCCACAGCACCACTTCTGGTTTTCTAGTTGTTTTTTATTGGAGATGAGTCTTATGAACTTTCCTGCCTGAGCTGGCTTTGAACTGCGATCCTCAGATCTCAGCCTCCTGAGTAGCTAGGATTACAGGTGTGAGCCACCAGTGCAAAGCTATTTCATTCTATTGCAAATTTGACATATGTGTTGATATCAGAAACATAATGTGACATCATAACCATTGTAACATCATAAATCAGCAGTGACATCAAATTGTCATTATGACACCATCAACTCATTGTGACATCACCAAACAACAATGGCATCATAGCAGTATAAATCACAGTGACATTGTTACATCATAGACGTAACATTGTAAAGGCTTATTGTATGAATTCATTCTATTTCAGAAACCCATTTTGACAATATATAACCATTCTGATATCACAATACATTGTGACATCACATTGCCATTGTGATATCATTAACCTGCTGTGCCATCACAAACCAGTCCTGTCCTTACAAGTTTTGTGCCATGCTGCCCTCGTTATATATTAGGTCCTTGTGAGCTCATAATCTGTTTTCAATCTCATATTTCTGGTATGACATGTGATATCAGAAATCCCCTGTGACATCATATTGCCAGATTTCATGAATATTGTGTCACATTGTGACATCACAAAACTGTTAGAACAGCATTACGTTTGTGACAACACATGCTTTTGGAGACATTACAGTCACTTTTTGAACTCATATATTCATTCCCAATTAATGACAATTGAGATCTGCCATGCCACTCTGACATCATGAACTCATTGTGACATCACAAATTTATTGTGCTCATCACGAGAATGGCATCAACAACTAATTGTGGTATGAAATCATTATTTTGACATTATATTGTGGTATTGCCTTCGTGACATCATTGTTCCATTGTGTTTTTACAAACCTACTATGGCGACATCACATCTTAGAAAATTCATGGTCTTTGAGATTTCAAGCTTTTTTCTGTGAACTCATGTACTTATGACCCCTAAAGCAAGGACACAAGCCATTGAGTCAAATTTAATATAATAAAACAATTTACAATAGAAAGGGGACTGTGATTACCTTATCCTGGACTGGATACCCAGGTCCAAGATCATCCTTGACCAACAAACCTCAGAACTTCAATGGGCATCACCACCCTTTTTAATTGGTCTGCAAACCACCATCCAAAAAATTATGACCTCCAAAGCTCCAAACCTCAATGGGCAAGGCTTTTTACTTTTCCATTCCTCCCTCCTTCACTACAGAGCTGTCCTTCCTTCCTGGTCTTTCCCTTTATCCCTTCCACCACTTCCTTCTTCTCTTCCACTCTCCTCCACTCTCCACAGGCCTGCCCTCCTCTGCCCCCGTGACCACTTGCCAACCTTCTGCTCTCCATCAACTTCCTCTCTTCTCAGATTTTTCTCTTTATTCCATCCTGGTAGCACCAATTTTTATTTCCCCTTCCAATGCTCTGAAAATGCAAACTATATATAGGTTTACCTCTCTTTACTCTAACGGGTCTTCTGCCTAACAGTTTTCAACAATCACTTCCCAAACTGCCCAATGCTCAATCACTCCTTGACAGCTCACCATGTGAGGCTTGACACTTCACCTTTGGCGGCATTCCCCACACTCTCCGGTGGGCCAGACCAAGAATTTACAATGATTATCAGCTCAGACAGATAATTCTGGCCCCACTGGTTATTACATTATCCTCATAGTGAATTAGAAGAAATTGAAATTGTATACGTCATTGTTATATTACAAACTTGATGAGACATCACTAAACCATTGTGACCTAATCACCATGGTGACATCACAAACTCATTGGGATATCACACTGACATTGTGCCACCATGATCACATTGTGACATCCCAAACCTATTATGACCTCAGAAGCTTTGAAAGAAAGCATGGCCTTTGCGAAATCACAGGCCTTTTGGTATCCATACCCTTATTTTGAGCTAATGACAATTGAGATGAGACATGTCATTTTAACATCGCAAAACCTTTATGACATCATCACCAGTGTAATATCACATTGTCATTATGATAACATCAGCCCATCATGACATCATAAAACAATGACATCATAGCATTATGATATCACATGGTCATTGTGATGCCACAGACACATTGGAATGCCTATTCTGTGATTTCATTCTATTTCAAAAGTGCCAGGTTTGTTGATATCAGAAATACATTGTGACCACATAATGTTTATGACATCACAATACCTTGATGACACCATATTGCAATTATGATATCACTAACCCACTGTGACATCACAAACTTTCTTATTCTCATAAATTTTTGACATGCTTCCAGTGTGATCCCTTTGGCCTCTCTGAGTTCATAAATTGTTTAACTCATGATACTTCAAGTATGACATGTGATATCAGAAATCCACTGTGACATCATGACCACTGTGACACACTGCCAGATATCATGACCATTGAGTCACATTGTGACATCACAAACCTGTTAAGACTCATGACACTTGTGCCAACATATGCCTTTGGATCCATCATTAACCCTCCTGAACTTATATATTCATTGTCAATTAGAGATCTGGCATGAGATTTTGACATCACCATCTCATTGGGAAATCACAAACCTATGTGACCTCATCACCTGTATGGCATCACCAACAATTTGTGACTTCAAAACAATACTATCCCATGTAATGGTAACATCACATTACCAATGGGATTTTCACCATTGCTTTTTCACCAACCAATTATTTCCTCATAATATTTTACAAAATTTATGGCCTTTCTGACTTGTAGCTCCTTATGTGAACTAGTATCTTCATCGTGATCTAGTAGAATGAAATTGGACATGTAATGGTGATATTACAAATTCATTGTGACACCATTATCCAAGTGTGACCTTATCACCACTGTGACATCACAAACCCATTGTGACATCACATTGCCACAGTGATATCTCGGTCACCTTGTGACATCCCAAATCTGTTGTGACCTCTTAGCACTTTTGAAAAAGCACATGGTACTTGTGACATCACAGTCCCTTTGGGTAACCATATCCTCATTGTGAACAAAGGACAACTGACATCAGACATGCCATTGTAACATTACAAACACTTTGTCACATCATCTCCAGAGTGAGATCACATTGTTGTTATGATACCATCAAATCATTGTGACATCCCAAAATGACAATGACGTCATAGCATTATGACATCACATTTTCATTGTTAGGTCATAGAGACAATGTGATTGCCTATTCTGTGGTTTCATTATATCTCTAATGTGACATATAGGTTGATTTCAGAAACCCATTGTGACCACATCACCATTGTGATATTACAATCCCTTTGTGACCTCATATTGGCATTGTGATATTATTAATGCAATGTAACATCACAAACTTCTCGTCCTCATAAATTTTGTAACAAGTGTCTACCTTGACCTGGGCTAGATGCCCACACCTAAATGCAGCTTCAACCATGAACCCTCAGACCTCCAAAGAGCAGCCCAACCATTTGTTATCTGGCCTGCAAATAAGCAACCCCAAAAATAATTATCTCCAAAGCTCCAAACTTCAAAGGACAAGGTTTTTTTCTTTCTATTCATCCTCCTTCTCTACAGACCTGTCCTACCTTTCAGGTCTTTTCATTTTTTTCCTTTCACCATTCCCTTCTTTTCTTCAGGCTTCTCTACTCTTGACAGGCCTGCCCTGCCCTGTCCAGGTGGCCAGTTGCCATCCTTCACCTCTTGGCCTCCCTCAATTTCCTCTCCCAGGTTTTTACCCTCCTGCAGTCTCTTTACTTCTTTCCTTCCAGGCCTTTCCCTCTTTTCTCTCCCCTTCTGTTGCTCTGAACATGCAGCCTATGTATAGGCTGTACCCTTCCCCCACTGCAGTATGTTTCCTGCATAACAGTTTTCAATCATCACTTCCCAAAAGTCCATGCCCAATCACTTCATGGCAGCTCACAATGTGGGGCTTGACAACCTATCTCCTTCAGCAGCATGTGCTGCTCCCTTCAGCTGCATGCACCCGCTTCTCCTGTGGTCCAGACCAGGAGGCCATGATGACTATCTGTTCCCATGGATGATAGGGTCACTGCTGGTTATTAAGTGTATCATGGTGATCTAGCAGAAATTGAAATTGGACAAATTTGTGATATTACAAACTCATGATATAACTAACCCATTGTGACCTCACCAACACTGTAACATCACAAACACATTGTAACATCACATTGCTGTTTTTGACACCAGGATCACATTGTGACATCCCAAACCTATTATGACCTCTTATAACCTTTGAAAAAAATACATAGTTTTGTGACATCACAGTCCCTTTGTGTACCCAAATCCCCACCATGAAATATTTACAATTGAGAATCAAACATGACATTTTAACATCAAAAAGTTTGTGAGATCATCACAATTGTGACATCACATTGTAGTTTTGACACCATCTGCTCATTCTGAAATCACAAAAGTAAAATAATATGATAGAATTATAACTTCACATTGTCATTGTGACATCATAGACACATTATGAATGCCTTTTCTGTGATTTCATTGCATTTCAAATGTGGCCTGTAGGTTGATATCATAAACAAATCTTGAAATCATAACCTTTGTGACATCACAACCCCTTTGTACATCACATTGTCATTGTGATATCACTAACCTACCATGACATTACAAACCTATCCTGTCATCATAAATGTTGTGACATGCTGCAATTTTTTTTAAGCCTTTTTGTCCTCATGATCTGTTGTGGACCTCATTAGATTTCACATATGACGTTTGATATCACAAATTCCCAGTGACATCATGACCATGGTAACATCACACTGCCAGATGTCATAACCATTGCGTCAAATTCTGACATCACAAACCTTTTTGGATTTCAATATATTTGTGACAACACATACTTTTGGAAAAACTACAGTCCTTCTGTGAACTCAGATACTCATTGTAAGTTAAAGACAATTGAGAAACATTATGTCATTTTGACATGCCCCACACATTGTGACATCACCAATCTTTTGTGACCTCATCACCAATGTGGCATCATCAACTAATTGTGACACCAAAATAATATTTTGACATGATGCAGTGAGTTGACATTGCCATGGTGATATTAATGTCCCATTGTGTATTCACAAACCTAATATGGCCTCATAACATTTTTAAAAATTCATGTCCATTAGGACTTCAAGCTCCTTCTGTGAACTTGTATGCACATTGTGAAAAAGCAATTGAAATTGGACATGTGTTTAAGATATTACAAAATCATCATGACATCAAAAACCTATTGTGAACTCATCACAACTGTGTATCATGAAGCTATCATGGCCCCTAAGTACTTTTGAAAACACACATGACATTTGTGACATTTCAGTCCCTTTGTATACCCATATCCTCATTGTGAACACATGACAATTGTATTCATATATGCCATTGTAACATCACAAACCTTTGTTACCCCATCATCAGAGTGACACCATTATCTCCTTGCAACATCACCAATTTACAATGACCTCATAGCATTATGACATTATATTATCATTGTGATGTCATAGTTACCTTGTAAATGTCTATTCTATTTCATTCTCTTTCAAATGATGTGGCCTGTGGGTTGATATCAGAAAACCATTGTGATCTCATAAATGTATGGCATCACAATCACTTTGTGTTATCACAGTGCCATGGTGGTATCACTAACACACTGACATCACAAACTTGACCTGTCCTCATAAGTCTTGTGATGTTCTGCAATTGTGATGTCTTAGGCCCTTTATGAGTTCGTAATCTATTTTCAACCTTATAATATTTCAGTTACGATATGTGATATCAGAAATCCACTGTGACATCATGATCATTGTGACATCATACTGACAGATATCATAAATATTGTGTCACACTGTGACATCACAATCCTCCTAGGACTTCATCACATTTGTGACAACACATGCCTTTGGAGATAGCACAGTCTGTTTTGGAACTCATATTCTCTGTGATTTCATGATAAATGAGATCCTTTATGCCATTTGGATATCACCAACCAACTGTGACATCATAGACCTACTCTGACCCCTTACCTGTAGGTTATCATCAATTAATTATGACATCAATACATTTTGTGATGCCACAATATGACACTATGATCATTACATCTGTCAGTGTGATATCACAATGGTCATGATGTCACAGTGGATTTCTGGTATCTAATGTCATACATGAAATATGAGGTTGAAAACAAATTATGAGGGCAAAAAGTCTGATATCACAATGTCAGCATGTCACAAATGTTAGGAGGAGAGGAGAAGTTTGTGCTGTCACATTGTGCTAGTGACATCACAATGGCACTGTGATGGCACAAAGTGATTATGATGTCAAAATGGTTATTTAGGCACAAAAATGCGTTTCTGATAGCAACTCTCATGCCACATATGAAATACAATGAAATCACAGAATAGGAATTCACAATGTGTCTATGATGTCAAAATGAGAATTGTTGTCATAATATGATTATGACATTGAGTTTGATTATGTCACAATGAGGTGATGCGCTTATAATGAAAATGTGATGTCATACTGTTGAGGATGTCACAAACACTTTTTGATGTTATAATGGCATGTCTGCTTTCCATTGTCATTAGTTAACAACAAGGATATGGGTACACAAAGGGACTGATGTTGAAAAGGGCATGTGATTTTTCAAAGAAGCTAAGAGATCATAATAGGTTTGAGATGTCACAAGGGAATCATGTTGTCACAATGACAATGTTGTCACCATGGGTTTGTGATGTCGTGGTGGTGATGATGTCAACATGTGTTTGTGATGTCACAACGAATTTGTAATATCACAATCAAATTTCCAATTTCAATTGCTACTAGTTCACAAGGAGGATACGGTAATAATCAGCAGATCCCCGATAATCTACAGGCTTAGATAACCAGTGTGGCCCCATCTCCTGGCCAGCTGGAGAGGATGAAGTATGCCACCAAAGATGGTGGGGCATTCTGTGGGAGGGGCTGGGGCATTAATCATCACGTGCTGAGCTGTGGAGAAGTAATTTGACTGTGGGCAGTTTGGGATTTGACAGTTGAAAACTGTTAGGCAGTTGGAGTGAAGAAGGGGTACAGACGTTATATAGGCTTCTGGTTCAGAGCAATAGAAGGAGAGAGAGAAAGGGAAAAGTCCTGTAAGGAAGGAAGTGGTTTGATAGCAGAAAGAGAAAGACCTGGGAGGAGAAGAAGTTGAGGGAGGGCAGGAGGTAAAGGATGGCAACTGACCACCCATTCAAAGCAGTTCATGCCTGTGGAGAGTGAAGAGGCCTGAAGAGAAGAAGGAACTGGTAGAAGGGAGAAAGGGAAAGACCTCGAAGGAAGTATAGTTCTGTAGTGGAAAGACAAAAGAAAGGGTAAAAAAGGCTGGCCCTTTGATGTTTGGAGTTTTGGATTTCATAATTTTGGGGGTTGGTGGTTAGGAGAACATTTATGATATTAAATGTGTCTCTATGGATTCTCTTGAACTATAGAGGTCTTAATTTTTGGAGACCCCCATCGAGATAATCCATTTGGATGGCATCAGGCGTTGGCCTCAGGGAAAAATCCCCATAGGTGAGAGTGTCAGCACTCAGGGTTGAGAGTCTACCTCAAGTGTTTGTCTCCGGAGGAGAATCATGGACAAAAAGTCATTTAAGGTCCTCTAGGGGTGTGTGGGCAAGCTTGCCAGCCTGATTGGGGCTCCCCTCTGGAGGTCATCTGTTGCTTCCTTGGGAAGCCATCTGGGAACTCCTTGAGAGGTCATGCAGGGCTTCTTTGGGAAGCCATCTGGAACCTCCTTGAGAGGTCATGTAGCCCTTCCTTGGGAAGACATCTGGAACCTCATCAAGAGTACATCTGCAACTTCCTTGAGAAGCCATCTGAGACCTACCCTGGAGGTCATCTGGAGCCTTCTCCTGGGGCCATCTTATACTTTCTCCAGAGGTCATTTGGGGCTTCCTCAGGAGGTCAGCTGAGACCTCTATAAAAGTAGTGATTGGGAAATAAGGGAAACCATGGACCTAAGTTTCTTTGGGCCTGGCTTATTTCACTTAATATAATTTTTTCCAAGTCTTTCCATTTCCTAACAAATGGGGCAAAGTCATTCTTTTTGGTGGAGGCATAGAATTCCATTGTGTATATATACTACATTTTCTTGATCCATTCATCTACTGAGGGGCATCTGGGTTGGGGCTTCCTTAAGAGGCAATCTAGGACCAACCCCTGAGGTCATCTGGAGCTTCTTTTGGAGGTCATCTCAGGTTACCTTGATAAGGAATATATGGCTGTCTTCGGACATCATCTGGAACTTCCTTGAGAAGCCATATAGGATGTCATCTGTGGCTTTCTCAAGAGGGTTATCTTGAACCTTCTCTGGAGTTCATATGTGGCCTCCTTGAGTGGCCATCTGGGAGCTACTGGTGAGGTAATCTCAGCCTCATTGAGAGGACATCTGGGACCTCCTTTGGAAGTCATCTGACACTTCCTTGGGAAGCCATTTGGAACATCCATGAGAGGTCATCTAGGGCTTCCTAAGGAGGACATATGTGACATCCTCCAGAGGTCATCCGCGACCTCCTCAAGAGGCAATCTGGAATGTCCTCTCTGTCATCTGGGACATCCTATAGAGGTCAACATTGAGAGGTTTGGGGCATGTGGGTTAAGTGTCTGTGGCTATTGTTCTGTGTGTGCATGCTGATAGTTCTGTGTCCTGTATGACCCTCTGTTTACTCCTTTTCTCAGGATGGGAGAACAAGGCCTAAATTTGTCATATCCAAAAAATATTCTCCCCCAGGGTTACAGAATCCCTCAGAGGAAGATGCACTGATGTACTCTTTCTCCTATTCTTTGCCATCAGCACCTCTAATGTTAAGTCCTCCCATGCGAAAATTGGTTACTTGTACCATCCTGAGGTGGTACAGTATGGTATGTTACCCTTATTACCCTTGAGACGGGAACATGGAGGAGATGGTGGGCAGGTCCCCTTTTTAATATATGGTCCCTTTACAACTAGTGACCTGTATTACTGGAAACAGCAAAATCCATCCTTTTCAGAAAAAAACAACAACCAGGGCTCATTACCT